CCGGTAAGGATGGAAATTGTACATGGCTAGCCCGTAAATTTCCATCCGTACAATTTAGGTTGGTCAGTTGAGAACCGGCGATCAACTACTTATGTTAAGTAGTTTTATCTATTCGGCAACTCGGGGTTCGATTGGGATCAATGTATATAACGTTTGTGTCCTAAGTACGGAGACTGTTGGGATACCTTGTAAGGTAACAATAGTTTGATTTTATTCGATTATGACAACGTGACACAGGAGCGAATTGCCTAGGGGGGTGTCTTTTATGGTAAAATGATGCCTATTTAAGTGTTCAGGTGTTACTAACATGAAGAAAACGCAGAAAACTCCACGTGGCCAGCCCGTTGGCGAGGCGCGAACCCACGACGGAGTGTTCAGTGGTTTTATCCACTCGGCCACTGGTGGGCGTAAAGCAGCAATAAAAATTTAATAAAGCTGAAAATTCGATTATTTAATTAAATTCTTTATCATAAGCTTATTATTATTTTTTGATTAACCATGCTTATCTGAAAATCATTTGCGTTGCATATTACGTGAACAGAATTTATAATTTTTTTTCGAAAACTTAATACAATGACACGATGATGTATAGTGAATAGAACAATTATCAGAAATTCTACTTATCGATTTTTTTTCTGAGCTATTTAAAAAAGAGATTGTTTGCAAAATCCTCGGATTTTGTAACATAAATCACGGGAATAATTAACTCATTTGATAAAAATCGATCACTGGAATAAATTAAAACGATAGTCGGACAATCATTGTGCACCTTTAAAAAATCGTGCATTGCATCAATTACACTTATTTTTTTAATGTTATTTTACTTTGTTATAAATTATCAGATCATTTTCCTTCTCCATACACGTATTTGACTCAATATAAATCGATTTGAAATTTCGAAACTGTTCAAATTTAATTAATTTTTTTCTTATTTTCACCATCATCTTCTTCATCAGTGGGTCGGTACGATTAAACTGCGCGACTGCACAGGGTGACGAGAGAAAATGGGCACAAAATTTACACTATTTATATTATTTATTGACAAACCCAGGGCGCTTCCAAAACTTCTTGCACAGAGTGCAGATATGACTTGAACCTGTACTGTTCTTCATAAAACATTATTATTATTATTATTATTATTAATTTAGAAAAGAATCCCTTGAAATTGAGTTATATTGACCTTTTTTTTAATACACTTCTGTACATTACTATTATTTAATACATTAATATTGAGTCTGTCGAGCGTGAGAAGTATTATAATTGCTTAAGATTTATAAGCAGGATTTCGGATTTACTTATCGAAATAATGACAATTTTTCGAATATTATGATTAATAATGATAAGTAAAAACTCTAATGTCAACGTCAAACCAATAAGATTAATTCTATAGTTATTTAATTCATGCATATTTTATATATTTTATAAAGTGAGTCATATAGATATTTCAAAAAATTAACATAATTTTTTTAAATATCTAAAACTTCGAATTATAACTTTATATTATATTAATCTATCGATTCTGATAGAACTGTAATAATCAGCATAAACTATTACCTATACATCTTCGAGCAATTCTTACTGTCCGCCATTGATACAGTAAAATAAATGATGAAAATATTTGACAACTTTAGCATTTAAATTATTGAAATAATATGAAAACGTGAATTATTTTATTTATTTTATAACGAATTTATTTCATTATATTTCTTAAATGCATATATATATATATTATTTAGCTATCAAATTTTAAACATTATCATAAAAAAGACGCATGCGTATATGCTATATGTAAGTGTTTTCTAAGCGAATTAACAAAGGTGACCCAAATAACCGTGCTGGATAATCGAGATTCTATTTTTTTTTATCATTTATATTTCTTCCGCTTATCTCGGAAAGAGTATGGGAATGTCACTAATTCACTTTAAAAAGTTATTATTTTTTACAAATAATTTACTTTTATTCTTAAAATTGAATTAGTATAGATTAACTGGAATAAAATTTAAAATATTATTAAAAATTATGGTATTAGTTTTAAAAGTAGGCATTTTTTTTCTTTTGCATTGCAGATGCTTGTTATATAATTAATTCCATATTGGATTACGTAGAATATGAGTAAAAATATTTTACAAGAGATAAAAAAAACTATAAAAAATTCAATTATTTTCTCGCCATTTAATCATTCTTGTTAAATGATTTTTCACGAAGTTGCGTGAAAACAAGCAATTTTAAAATTCGATGAATGAAAGGTTAGTGTGACGTCAGAAATTATTCGTAAATTGCATCCAATCATATTTGTAAAAAAAAAAATAATAAAATAAAATATTCGAATTTAATTATGTATGTGATCCCCACCCTATTAAAATAAAAAATANATCATGCTGAATTCAAATAAATAATTCAAATAATATTAGAAAAATCCACTCCAGTTGTTTCCGATCAGGAAATTACCCGCTTATTTGTTACAGAAATAGCACTCTTCATAATAACTGACGATGGCTCCACTATAAGTTGCAACCTGATTAAAGGCAATATTATGATCAACAATCAATATTATAGATCTAATCCTAATCTTAGTGTTTTATATAACAACTGTTATTATCGCAAGAAATGCGGAAGAAAAAAGGAGGAAATTTGAGAATTTCACTCGACTTTTATTAACAGCATGCTTCTCCATTCACTATCATTACTTTTCAAGCATTCGATTACATAAATACTAGTTTCTTTCTTTAAAAAAACTAAAATTTCATTTATTTTTTACAACTTTTCTAAATTGTCTGGCTTAACCTGTTCGGATTACTGACGCAAACATTGCGATAAAATCTTTATCATGTCATCTCTAAATGTAGTTTACGTTACTTTAACTTGTATTTTTCTAATGAATAAACTGTTATAAAAATAGCTTTTTAATAAATTGATATCAATAGTATAAAGCGCAAAAAAGAGATGCAGTTATAAAAATCGATTACGATAACGGATGAAAGTAATTACAATGAAACCTGATACTTATCGCCCGATATATCCGAATCCCAGAAGAAGTCGTTAAAAGCTAAAATAACCTTATTCGGCGAGGGCGTGCCAATAATGAATCATTATATTTTAATTACACTTTTTTGTGTAACATTCGGAGATCTAAATTAAGAGGAAAATCGGTTTTATATTCAAATCGAACTCAAATAATTATTCTTAATTAGTTTACGCGCTAATTGACACCAGACAAGACAAAATTTGCTCAATAACTTTAAATCTATTAGAAGCAGCGTTTATATATAAATCATTCGTATGGATCACTTCAAAATAAATTATATATAGCTTAGGCTTTATTATCATTAATATTTTATATAACCAAAATGATATCTTCGATTACCGGTACATAAAAATATCAATAACAATCGAGCCCAATAGATACGTCGTATATTATCCTTTACTTTTTAATAAGATCATAAGCAAGCGATAACAAAGTATAACTGAATTTTTTTTTTAAATTTAGAAATAAATTTCAAAAATAAGTTTTTAAAATTCAAATAGCTATTTTTTTTTATTTTAGTATTAATAAATTCCGATTGCTGTTCATAAGCTAAAAGTTCAATGTTTTCTATGGCTTCTGTGAGTATTTTCTGTAATTTTACAGAACTCGGTTACACTTCAAATGTTTATATATAATCTTAACATTAATGAAAGAATGAAATACAAATTTCACAAATCATTAAGTGATTCAAAATAACAGCAACAACAAAATATTTTAAGTGGCACACTGTAGTAGCACAATAATTATATTCTGCTATATGACATCGCCTTTTCGCCATTTTAGCTTACTACTTAATGTACTGTACTGTATTGAAAAATTTTATGCAATTATATTAATTTTTCGATAAATATATTAAAATATAACTATAATCTCAACACAAAATATGCCACTACCCAAAAAATTCGATGTCTAGCATTATCATACAAAGCTCTTCTATGTTTTTCGGAAATGGAAAGTATTACTTTCTATTCTGTTAACATCTATATTTTGTTGTCAATCTTTTCGGTATGAAAAATAAAATCGTATAATATAAGCTGAATTAATAATGTAAGCCAATACGTTCATAATTTATCAAATATTCATTCACATCAAAACAAAAGTAATTGGGGCATGAACATAAATAATTTAATTTTCCTTCATTTTATTTTTGAAATTGATATTTTATTACAGACAGGCATATGAAAAGACTTATTTTTCAATTCGACAGTTTTATTTTCATATCTCTAAGAAAAATTATTAAATTGAAAAAATGTTTAATAATTTGTTGATTTGCTTACTTTCATACCAATTATTAAATATTTTTGAAACTATTAAATTTATAAATTGATTAAATTAAAGTAAATTTTTTGCATATTTACATCAATAATTTAATCATAATTTAAAATATGTAAGAGTTATAAAAAATTTCTTTTCCTATATATGTATATGGAAAGAAGTGTTACACATACAGTATTGTATCAATATTTTATTTTAGTAAAATTAAACTATCGTACGGAACAGGTTTTAATGAAATTTAAACTTATTTGTCCGTAATAGTTGCTATAATTACGAATTGTTCATTTTATTCAAAGTTACTTTAATTTGAAATTGATTTAAATATAATTAATTTATAATGAAAATATAAATTACATAAAATAATAAAGGTCCATTAGTTTACAGACTTGTATTAACTAAATATTTGATGTGTTGTGTCGCTGTTTAGATTAACTATAAAAAAATTTTCTGTTGACTTCTGTAATTTATCAAGTACTTTTCCATTTGTTATTAATTTATTTTAACTTGTGCTTTAGGCCTATCCATAATATAAACATAAATAAGTTTAAATTTAAAGGTAGACAAACTCAAGAAACTAAAATTGAGATTTAAAAAAAAATGAATAAAATAAATATAATTATACTAACTTAATTTTTAATTTAATCGAACCTTTAATTATATTTTAACATAATTTAATTTTAACTTGTTATTATCTTTTAAGTTTGTTACAAATTAATACAAATGAAGGAAGTCATTAAAAGTGTTAGTCAAAATTCGATATTGTGACGAAACATAACGTCGAGTCCACGTGACCCAGCAACCAATCATCGTCAGAATGAAGGTAGTGGGAGTTGTTACTTTTGTCAGTTTGGTTGAGTGTATTTAAGCATTTAGGGCGAAATCGTATTTACGAAGTTGTGCATCATGTATGTATCCAATTGATAAATTCTTATACTATTTATTAGTTTATAAAAAAAGATTTAATTATATATTAAATTATAGGGCTACCGTACTACTCTATATGAAAATTGCGGCTATTATTTTAGGAATTTCTGCTGGAATAAATGGATATCCAGATGCGAGTTTGGGATGTCATCCACGTTCTTATACTTACATGGCTAAGCGAACCGACGAATTTGGAAGGAAATGTTGGGATGATATTACTACAATCGCTTGTTGGGGGAGATGTGATACAGCAGAGGTAAGTTAAATCATTTATCGTGAATTTTATATTTTTTGTGTACAAAAATGTTCATTTCTAAACAATTTCCAGATTGCTCATTGGAAATTCCCTTACAAAATTTCATTCCACCGCGTGTGTATCCACGATAAAGTAAAATTAAAGCAAACAACTCTCCAATTCTGTGATCCAGGAGTAGATCCATCTCTACGAATATACCGATATCTTGAAGCCAAATCGTGTTCTTGTAAAGTTTGTAGAAGTGAAACTACCAGTTGCGAACCTTACAGGACAATGTTTCCTTCGGAATAGTTATATTAACCTAATATAATTAGTCTGTAACTATCATATTTATTTGTAATGAAATTATACCTGTCTGTATAAGCAAAAATTGATGTAAGCACATGCTTCATATGAATCTTGGATAATGTTTTAGCTGTAGATAATAAAGTTGCTTCTATATGACTAGTAACAGAAATATATCATTGTGAAATCAACAATGAGATGTTCCTGTTGCTATTGGATTAATAGCTTTTCTTTCAAACTTGTGCTGATGTTTCCTTATTTTTCGAATCATCAATCACTCTTAGGGAAATTCACTAAGGATATAGGACTTTTTTTGTTTATTTGTTTCTTTTTGTGGCTCACAGCTTTGAATAAAATAAAGATTTAAAAATTTCGAAAAATAATTTATTTTTCAAAATACTAAATAAAGGGAACATAGATATATTTAAATTCTATTTTTCTGTCATTAAAATAATATATTATTACAGAATTAAAATTATAAAAAGACATTTTTATTGTAATAATGTGCATGTTAAAGCAGAAGTAATTTACAGATTGTTTAAAATCTATTTTAATTACAATAGATTTTACACACATTATACTTTATGTATTAACTTTTGACAATGCTTTCTTTTGAAATGATAGGGGTGAGCAATGAAGTGATATTGCTTATCGTTTTAAAGGTATTAGAAATTAAAAAGATTAATTTAATTAATTTGGGAAAGTTAGGTTATTTTTAATCAGAAACGTTACAGATCCAATCTTCGTTAAATTTTAAGTTTACACTTTAGTAAAGATACATTGAAAAATATTACAGTACATTAATACTTAAGACATTGAAAACAAGAGCATTTTATAGCTGACTTGAATACCAAATCTCTTAATCCATCTAAACATAGCACTTGAACGTTCACCTAAAAATAAAAACAAAAACTTTAAATATATTCAACATTTAAAAACTATAACTAAAATTAATAAACCATTATTTTATATCGAATTAGTAGTAAAAATTACTATAAAGGTCAACAACATCAACATAATTTCAAAGTTAATATTGTAGAAAGTTGGTTTACACGCGTATCGGATATTATATAATAAACTATCCACTCCCATTTTAATTTCTTTCTTAGATCCCTAAAGACGCATTTTTATATCACGAAATGTTTTCTATTATTGTTACAAACTAGATATACCCTATTTTAATTTGTAGAATTTATAATACATTAAAACATTCTTTAACAACTTACATCTTCAGTCTCCATAATATTGCAGCATTTTGCGTATGAAGTCAACCTTTGATTAGGATTGACTTTAATAGTTCCTTCTGGAGATGGGACCGAGTACGAATCACAATATCCTCTACAGGCATTTGTTGTAACTTGAAACTCAACACAGTCCGGAATGCTGATATTTCTCGTGTGTCCTATATTGAAAAATAATATTTTATGTTGCTATTTCCGACAACTTTAAAGTTTAATTTATTTCGAAAATTTTTAAATTTCTAATATAAAGCAAACATTATAATACTTTTTTGTTTTTATAAATTTAAAGAAAATGCAAAAATAATACGCGTTAGTTATAGACATGTAATGTTGATAAGATATGGAATTGCTCAAAAAAGAACTACAATTTTCAATCATTTTAGAAATAAACAAGTTTTTTTTTACATTCTTTATAGAAAGTTCCTATCTAAACTCAAACATTATTCTATTCTAACAGATAAATTCACCCGAAGCAAAATATAAGATCTCATAACTAGTAAAAGAAAATAGTTTTGTCGGAAAAAAATAATAAAAATAAATCGAAATTTTAAATTATTTTTTTTATTTCATTTATCTAAATTGAAAATGTCACGATTTCACAATTATTTTCAATCCAGATTAAATATTAGATTACAGTAACGTAACTATATCACTTCTTTAAACTATGTGTTACATTGTAACATTAGCCATTCATTGTCTGTTTATCTTATCTAAATGAATAAATATAAAATAGACAAAATCTTATATTTGTAAGAAATTAGAAAAAAATGTGTGTAAGCCATCTGCAAATAATATTGCTCCTTTGCAAGTTACAAAAAATTAAATAATTTGATATGATAGCGCAAATTATCGTATACAATCGTGGTCAAATCGTATTTTTACTCTTGTTTCGATTAATTCTAAAATATATAATTACATAATTATAAAATATTAAATTCAGGTTGTGAATTGATACCATAAGTTATTGATTTATCGTTTGATTTGTGTGACTAAAGCATTATAAGGTGTACGCTACAACGTGTATTAATAAGCTTATTAGAAAAGTAAAGGTTATAATGAGCTTATTAATAGATTAAATATTAATTAAATTAATAATGATTTAATAACAGTGACCCTACAAATATCAAATTTAAAATATCAAATAATGAAACAACGCGTGTTATTCATTATCGCTTCCAGCTAACAAAGTGTTTCCCGACAATATCTAATAGCAGTTAATTATTAAGTTATAAATTAAATACAATTTTATTTAAAGTAATTTTAGAATGACATTAAATGGGTTTTTATTTACAGAAATTTTACGTTTTACAATCTTCAATAATTAGCATAATTAGTTGAATCGTTAATCATTACTTAATTATATTAATTTACGATGAAAGTAATTAAAAAACTTAAAAATTACTTACCGACACGATAGCATCCCGGTTTATCCCAGACATTCCCACTCATAACGTGACCGAATAAAGCGATGCAACAGGTTAATAAAATGAACCGCATCTGCAAAAATTTAACAATTAATTTACGATAAAAGAACTTTTAATTTATTTATGAAATTATAATGTTTTAAACATAAACTAAATCTATAATTTATATTTTACAAATGAGAATAATCTGGAGTTTATTAAATAAAAATACAGTAATGTATATTTAGTTCTGGAGTGCTAACAAGTTTAATATATTTAGCCATGGAGAACAAGAACTCGTCATATAACTTATCAAACTCGCATCTTCTTCTTATTAACGCTTAAAGGCCCGCCTGTTAATTTCCTGTGGGTCATTGAAGGTATTAACATCAACGCAACCACATAAATCTTTAATGTACCTGCTGTTCTATTAGTTTTATTCTCCACCCTTAACAAATCTTTATGAGTTTCTCTTTCAATTAAGGTTTCTTTCTATACAGATATTATAATATAAGAAAGCTTCAGACTAATATAAGAAAGCTTCATTAATTTTTATGAGTTATACTATCGAATAATTTTTTTACATTTTATTCATCACATTAAATCAATATATTATATTGTAAGTAAAAAAGTTGATCTTAAAATCGCCAATTTTTCGTTTATTATATGATTTAAAAAATAATTTTCGTTAAATATGTTTACAGAAGAATGTTTATATATTAGACTATTAAGCAATAAATAAAATTGTTGAAGATAAAACTTTAGTTATTAAAAAAAGGAAAAAAACATATGTGAAATGAAAAATTAAAGAAAATTACATAGTAAATAATGAAATTATTTTTGGTTTAAGTTTATATTATCTTTTATATGGGCTATTTTATAAAAATAAAAACAGTTTTACTTGTATAAATTGTTTAAGATCATAAAAATTTTAATACCGAAAACAAATGCTTGAAATGGGTTAGTCTAAATTGCTACAAAATACAGAAACGTTGTAAAATGGAACACGATTTTTCATTTCGTCTAATAAAAGATATTTATTTGATTACGTAGAATATCTTATCTGCTTCTTTTAGGCTTTAATTCTAATTATTTTTTATAAATAAAAAAAAATGCTAGTCAAGTGCCCTTTTAAATTTACGTTAATTAACGTAATTATATAATTTGTTTATCGAAAAGAAAAATAAATAAACGTGTAATAACATTAATAGTAATTTTATCTCTTATATTCAATTTGCATTGAAGAAAAATTATATCGTTTAATGAATTTAAAAAGTATTATTTGTAAGAAATTTTAATGTAAGTTTGAAAGTAAACATTAAAATAAAACGAAAATGACATACCTTTTTACTAATATTCGGCAGTAATGAGATAAAGTTAGAAAGAAATTAAATAAAAAAAAAATGTATACTAAAACTATTAGAATTGAAAAATTCATTATCTAAAATAGGGCTAGGCGAATGCAATTTTTATTTGTAAAGGAAAGAAAAATGAGAACTACAAGTCATCATCAAATACAGATTAAATAAATATATTTAGAAAGTTCGATAAGAATATTAGGAATGAATTAAAATATCAACTTTTAAACGAGAAAAGAAAATGAATTAGTTCCTTGTTTTATTAACATAATTAATTTATAATATTATAATTATAATTGTATTTTATAAATGTTTTAATAATCATCGAGATGTTATTGTTTCCCTTTGATAATACGAACATTAATTATATTGACATTAATGTAACTTTCTCGATTAGTTAGAGAGTAATTTGTAGTAAGGTAAATTAAACATTATAACTGGTATTAAATAAGCAGGTGTGTAGATGCACTTTCTACATAATAGTTACATTAAAAGCTGGCTATACGTATAACACAAGTGCACATTTTAGTAATATATATGCATTTAGANTAGAAAATAAAAATATATTCTGTATAGATGAAAAGAAAACAATAATGTTATCAATATTATAATGGAAACAAATATTTAATTTAATGGAAAATCTGTTCTTATTTGATGATAATTTTTCTATTTCAGGCTCTCATATAATGGCCTTTTAAAAACTTAAAGATCTTGCTTTCACAATTTGTATGCAAAGTTTTCATATCTAACAAATATTTTATAAAATTCTAATACAGTACTTTTTATTAACCTTAAAATCGTCATACACGCTCGTCATCACTAATCTAGGAGCAAATCCGAACGAAACAACTTTTAATTTGCGTAAAGATAAAATCAATAAATATAAATTTTATTGTTTTAATAATTACTTAAAATAAACTACATAAACATTTAAAAAAAAAACAAAAATGTAACAAAATTATATAAAAGTAATGATATAAATATTAAAATATAAAAATTGTTTTAAAAAGTAATGACATTCTATCAATATGTATTCACTTTATTCAAATTTTCATTTATTGAAATAGATTGGATTTAGATATGTTAATGAAAGACAGCGGAGCATTCTAGACTGTATTGGACCGGTTCAATGTTGATCGTTATAAATACAGCTTGATCCGGAATGTTAGTTTGGTGGAATACGATGAAGCAAAACGTGCAAGATCTATCAAGGAGGATGCCTCTTGGAGACTTTTATGAGAAACTGTCTAACATTAGACACGTGAATAAAACCCGAAAAACTCTACGTGACATAAGGCGTGAACCCAACCAACTACCAGAGTTCAGTGCCAAAATGTTAGGTCCGTCTATATAATGTAACATTCAGATTTTTCTCTGTAATGTAAGTATTTTTTAGCGTATGGAATTGTATTTCGAACTTAATTCTAATTCAATAAAAATATACATAAATCACAAAATTGCGTTTATCTTTCTTTTCATAAAAATCCCAAAAATAATTTTTTTTTCAAATTCAATCATTGGAATAAATAACAAAAAGATGTTCGCATAATCAGAAAAAATAAATATTTGTTTTACATTCTATATTTCTTTTCAAGTCTTCAAGAGATTTAAATTGAAATGAAGAAAAATTTTAAATTAAGAAATGAATTATATAATTGTTAAGAGCATAGTCGTTACTTGATAAAAATATATATACAGTATATACAGTAATTCACCAAAGAAATATAGATCTTTCCGTATCTAGATTATTAAACGAAAGAATTAATTTAAATTTGAGATTATGGGAAGAAAGTACTATTTATAAAATGCGAAGAAAGATTCCCATGAGATGCAAAACAAGAAGAAAGTAAAAAAACATTCATTAAATTTTTATTTTATAATGGATAGAATTATGACAATAATAATTTTTGCACTAATAACGGAAACTATACTGTAATAAATAAATAATAAAACAGATATAGCGTATAATTAACGAGCATAATAATGTGAGATAGCAGAAATTCCTATATTAGAACTAGTCTTTAACATTAACATTGTTCGAGAGACGTAACGATTGTTGTTCGTAGCTACAGGTAACCTCCGTATAACACAGTAGTTACGTTCCAAAAAATTGTCGTGTTATGCGAATCCGTGTTATACGAAACAAACAACTAATACGAAAAGGAGGGTTAGGTTCCAAAAATTAAAAAAACATGCTAGTATATTTTCATAATTAAGATAAATATCTTCATTAAAATTTTTAAGTGATACATATTAATATAAATTAAACAATGTTTTCTTCGTCATTACTAAAAACACTATTAATTAATCGAGAGCGTTTTCTTTTTGGCAAGTTATCCTTATCCTCTGAGCATTTTTCTGCATTATTTTCAGATCCATGCTTTACCTTTTGCAAAAAGTATGTAATTTTAGATTTCTTGCTTCTAGTTAAAAGATCTTTATAAATTTCCTTATATGATGCTAAGCACTTATAAAGAATAAAGCAAGTATGGAATAAGGGAAAAACATTCGGCAACATCAGAAGCAGAAGCGTCGCGATCTGGCAACATTGAAACAAGTTTCGAGAAGGACCACGTGTATCGACAGAAGGCGAGAAGAGAAAATTTACATACTTAAGTACTAATAGTTCACGAAAATAATAATTTTCGTGAACTATTATTACTTAAGTATGTAAAAATTTATTACATTTCCTGTTGTACGAGGGTTTTACCCAATTCTCGAACCGTGTCAGAGTGAATCCGTGCTATAAAAGTACCGTGTTATACGGGGGATGGTACCAATTCTCGAACTGCGTTAGAGTGAATCCGTGCTCTAGAAGTGCCGTGTTATACGGGGGTTACCTGTACTCGAGAAAGTCTCCCGTTACATTTTCTCGAAGGTAACGTGACGCTTTCTCGTGAACTATTAACCCTCTGCACGGCTGAAATTATCCGTGAATATCGCCAGAGACGACCGAAAAGAATCAGTCGCCGTTTTAGTCCTTGAAGAGGAAAGAAGTCGTCGCCCATTTCGTAGGATAACCTTTATCAACAACCTTTTTTTGTGTGTGTTAGTGCACGATAGAGCCTGGATATTTCAATGGGACATTTTGACTGGATATTTCACCCTTGGACAAATCCTGAAAAAGCCTATAAGAAGAACTATTACCTGGTTCTCCGATTTGATACGACCCTGATCGGGATATCTATTACCAAAGGTATTTATCACCACGCGAACCTTATGTGAACTCTCTCTCTCCGCGACAAAACTTTAGAACCTCTGTATCTTATCCAATTTATTTTTAATTAAATCTTTGTCAAGTGTTAATTGTAGTTCGAGTCTCTTACACATGCTGTCTCTCGATGGGCTGATATTACGAATCCGTCTGTCCACTTACGGGACCGCTCCCGCTACGGTGTGATGTAGTAATTGACATCTCGGCTTCCATGTTCCGATAAACATAGTGGTGTCAATCCTGACAGGGCACTAAAGAGGTGCCGACCCGAAAGGTCACAATAAGTAGTTTTGCAAATTTTAGCTTAGAGATTGCAGATATTTACGAAATTAATTAAATAAGATTTACTACACTAGAATTATAATAAGTTATGCGACCGAATTCAATTTTATTCATAATAAACACGCTTAATCACAATAAATAAGTGAAGAAAATAGAAAACGACTAAATACGAACTTTTGTTCCAAAAGGAACAGAAGTTTAGGTTTAATCATTCTCTGTTCGTGTTAATAATCTACTTGTGGATGTATTGAATAAACATGAAATCCCTTTATGGTGTAAACAGTTTCCAAGTCGTTATTCGAGCGATGACTTTCCACATTGTGCATCACTCTTAGAGGAAGATGAGCTCTTTAAAGCATGACAATTCTTCATAAAAAAAATGTTAATAACACTGATCTGAAAATAAGGACAAAAAAAACTAGCAAGATAACATTTGTGAAAAAAGTGTTCTTTCAAAATATACAAAGTTCGTAAATGAAATTTCATTTTGATAGCAAAATAAAAAAGTCGACGGGATTTTGCTCAATAAGATCATTCTGTAGGCCGGTCAGATAGCCGCGCTTATAATAGTAGCCTAAGGGTATAGTACGTCCTACGTGGCAGCATCCAGCAATCGGGGCAGAAAGAATGTTCGTACACTCTTCCTGTTCGCAACAGGCCTCTGTCCAGAAAAGATGCGTGTTGTTTACAAAATTGTAGCGAGACGACTTCGTCTAATGCTTGCCACGAAAAACAGCTTTCTATATTGTATTACCGAAACTTCTTACAAGCCAAAGACACACGATATTTATAAATGTTGTCAGTTCTGTGAATTTTCCATTTGTATCGTGAAATAAAAGACGATCTAACTTTTCTTCTTTTTTGGAAGCGCGAGCAGTGGAAGTGGCTATCAAATTTTCTTACTAGCTACTTTCTGCACGCACGTGTACAAGTGTCATCTGTTGGTCTCTGCATGATAAACGCGGTTACTCCGGACATGTACAGTGGTTCACACCTGTGTTTGCTGGATGCTAACACGTAGGACGTACCCTAACATCACAGGACTCCTAGATATAGCAAACATAGCAAAGAAAGGGTCCCACTGACTCTTTCTTTGTTGACTAGAATAAAGTGACGTTAGATAACATATTGTTGTAATAATGTATCAATTAAACCATTTGTTTCTTTTTTTTACTCTCGGGCTCTCTCTCTCTCTTTCGGGCCCTAGGCTTAAGTTTACCCAGTCTAATAGTTAATCTGCCACTGATCGTGAGATCTGGGTTCAAATCCATTGCATATTCTTCATAATACTAGCTGTTCAAGAAGTCCAACTTCAATGAGGAGCAGGTCGCTCGTAATGAGCGAAATTGTGATTGGCCATATAGTCTGGAAGTGTTACTGTTTTGCTTTCATAAGACAATCAATCACTATTACTTTAAGAAATTCCTGTTTGAATCTTTTATAGATGCAAAGTGTATTGTATTTAATAATAGTTTGAATTAGGATGTTTTTCCTACTTCATTGCCGAATTTATTTTCAGCTACTTAGTTTAAATAGTTCAACGCAAGAAAACCTTTTAAGAAATAATCTCGGATTAGTCAAAATTTATTTTTTATTGATAAAATTTAACTGCCAATTAACCTGAATGAAATAGGGCATTTGGATTAATCAATTAATCAATGAAGTAAAATGAAAAATTTTTATTGCATATAGTAATTTACAAAGACACTTTCATGTTGTAAATTGTTAGTTTAAAATACAGGGTGCTGCAGAAAAAACGCTCTGATTTGGAACGACAATAAAAAAGTACAAAGCAAGATAGAGAAAGAAGTCTTTTACACCTGATAAGTACACAGTATGCCATTAGGTTTTGAAGAGTACATCAGTTAAATGGCGACCGTCAATGTCGATGCAGTTTTAAAGTCTCTTACGGAAATTTTGCATTGATCTGAGGACCATGTCCAGCGTAATCGCCATGATTTCTTGCGTAATTGCTGTCTTAAGTTATTGCAAATTTGTTGGTCGTGTTGGTACACTTATGATTTGAGATAACCCCACAGAAAAAAATCACATGGAGCCAAATCCGGCGAATGCGGTGGCCAACCAATATCACCCCATAAAGTGACAAGATGGCCCGGAAATAAGTTTCTGAGAATTCCAAGTGGTTTTTTAGAGGTATGCGATGTGGCGCCATCTTGCTGAAACCACACATCTTCCGGATCATGATCGTTGAGTAAACCGTTAACTAATGGACGGAGAAAATTCTCAAGCAATTCACAATAGCGCTCTGACTTTACTGTCACTGTAACACTGCCCTCTTCAAAGAAATAAGGACGCCACACACCGAAATCACCTAAGGCACACCAAACCAGAAACTTGTTTTCGGGCCATCTTGTCTCTTTACGGGGTGATATTGGTTGGCCACCGCGTTTGCCGGATTTGGCCCTGTAGGCGATGGTCGATTAGCACTACAATCTTTTGTCTAGTCGGAAGTAGCGGAGCACTTGTCGAACACACCTGAACTGCCTCGTAGCAAGTCGAAAAAGCGCGGTGATCTGACGAAACGCTGACGTCATCCACACGAGGCCCTCTGGTGGCGACTGTAGGCGTTGGCGCCTCAGTACTCCCCCGCGAGTGTCAACGATACTTCAGGTTGAAGCGTACCCGTCGTCCAGAGCGGGTTGTGACCGGTGGTTGGGTCTCGTCGAGGTCCGTTGGTGGTGGGGGTCTCTCTTCCGTGCTGGTTGGGACGGAAGTTGTAGGGTCGGCGACAAAGGCTGGTTTGAGGCGGTCGATAGTAACCGTCACCTCCTTGCCGTTGATGTTAACCCTGAACGTTTTGTCGGAGCGCTGGAGGACTTGGAACGGGCCATCGTATGGGGGCTGTAGAGGTTTACGTATGGCGTCGTGGCGCACGAAGACGTGGGAACAGGTCTGTAGGTCGCGGAACACAAACGTCTGGTGGTTGCCGTGCTTGCGCGGTGAGACGGGACGTAGTCGTCGCATCCTGCCTTGGAGATCGGAGACGAAATCGGACGCGTCTACTGTGTTGTCGTTGTTGTTGACAAAAAATTCTCTGGGCAAGCGCAGCGTTTGTTTGTAGACCAGCTCAGCTGCGGTGGTGTTGATGTCATCTTTATACGCAGTCCGGACTCCCAAGAGTACGATGGGTAGGTTGTCTGTCCAGTGGTCAGAAGAGTGGCACTTGATCGCTGCCTTAAGTTGCCGGTGGAATCGCTCGATTATTCCGTTGGCGGCTGGGTGAAAGGCGGTGGTGCGGATTCTCGATGTACCTGTCAGCACTGTGAGTGCTTTGAACAGGTGGGACTCAAATTGTCATCCCTGGTCAGTCGTCAGCCGCTGTGGAACACCGAAACGAGTGATCCAGCCATCAAAAAATGTTTTGGCTACGGCGGCAGCTGTGATCTTTGACATGGGAAATGCTTCCGGCCAACGGGAGAAACGGTCGATTGCCGTGAGGCAATATGTGAAGTTGTTGGATGGCAGAAACGGTCCAACGATGTCAATGTGGACATGGTCGAATCGCTGATTTGGTGGGGTGAATGATCCAGTCGGTGAGACGGTGTGCCGGGTGATCTTGTTCTTCTGGATATATTGAAGCATTTTTCTGGATTATTTCTATCTTCTGTGTTTTTGCAATCCCTTTTCTCGGTAGCATTTTAAAGACTGCGGGAGCCCCTTTGGGGCCCTATGCGCCCGCATAGTTCGCTTACTGCTTAATCTGCTGTTCAGTATGCAAACCATATGCGTACCACTATAAAGCAAAAAATGATGTCAGAATTTCTGCACGCCTTTCACAACCTTGAGACTAAGATTTTATTTGGGAGTTACTATTTTCAATTTAGTAATTTTAAAAAAGTCCTTGGACAGATTTATTTTTGTTACAAAATGTTACCTTTACAGATTTCTAGCTCTGCACACCGTAGAAAAATCTAGAAATACAGTTTTGTATATCATAATAATATTAGTAGTTGCCAGAGAGCTCTATAAAGTAGAAAAAAATCTGTAATTTTGAAAACTATAAACATAAATTCAAATTTCTCAAAAAATAAATTAAAAAATATCAAAAGTTGCTACTTTTGGCTGATTTATCTGATGTCTCTGCTACCTCACTACATCCCTCTAAAAGTCGCCACAGTTGGGAACACTAGTGAGCAGACATCTAGGGTCTAAGTAAGGCGAAATGTAATCGCCAAACTGCGATGTAGAAAGGCGGAAAATTTAAAATTTAAAAATATAATTTTTTGTGAACGGCAGCTTGGGCCTCCCTTCCAAGTGGGCCCTGTGCAGGTGCACCTGTTGCACCTGCCTAGTTACGGCACTGAAAAATATGATTATTATTTAATGATAATTTGAATTAACAAACTTTATGATTGAATCTGATTAGTTTTTAGAATTCAAAATTTAATTACTAATTAGTTTAGATTTTAATATATGATGGTGGCCAAAGATTTTTAGAATCCTGCACAGGAATCTGAAAATAAATTTTTTTTCTTTAATTTAGCAATAGTATGTTTAAGGTGGTTGGTTAAATGGCTTACCAGCAGATAAGAATACAGCTTAATATTTAATTTGGTATCCATAGTTTTTTAATACAAAAGCACATTGTTTTGGCAAACTAATAATGAGCTGCTGTAACTTTTCCTTATAATTAATGCAGTCATGTAGACTTGCACACAAATCTTTCAATTTAAATTCATCTCAAGATTTTCAATAAGATTAAGGTTATGGGATTTAGGGGCCATAAAGATTTATTATGCACTTTTTTGGGTAGGGTCCTGCTACAAGGTGTGTTTTATCTAAGACGATTAAGACGAAATAAATGATTAAGATGCGAGGGTGAGAGCCACTCCAAAGTCCAGGAATGAGCCTCTCGGAAGGAAGAATGCAGAGTTAGATATAACCAATTTAAGGAAATTTATTAACACAAAATTGAAGTTTAGAACAGAATTATAAAATTTGATTTTTGGAAATTTGCCTAACTCTATCTATACAACGAAAGGGGGTGCCTAATGGGGGTATTCAAATTTATGTGACTCACAAGATACCAGGTAAACGAGATGTCTTCTCTCATCTGTTCAGACAGTCTGTCAGTCTGTTGATCCTATTTCACTCTCACTCTTAGTCTATTATTGATGCTTGCTCGTTTTTGAGCTCGTCTTCTTTTGAGCTACTCTCGCTCTGGTACTTGTCTGGTCTGATGCTTGTTAGTTCTCTTTTTTTCTCTCTCTCTCTTTTCTGTCTGTCTGTCTGTTTCACTACCCTTTTCTGTCTCTCCCTATCTAACTGAGCTTTTTCTGGTTGCAGCTCTCTTTTTAAACACTTCATTTTAAGCATGAGAAAATTCGTCATCGGGTGATGATTCATTAGCAGTGTCATCATTGTAGCTGAGACGGTGTTTTTTTATTTGGTGATGACATCAAACTTTCGTAGAGTCATCACTGAGTTGACCTGACTCATCTTTGCTTTGGGATTGTTAAGACAAAAAATAAAGCATTACCTTTTCTTTTGTTTTATTCTTTTAATACTTAACTTTAATAACTAACAGAACTTATTTACAACTTNTTATTTAAAAATAAAAAAATTCTAAATCTGCCTCCTGTTAAAAAAGATGAAAAAGAAACTATATTTGAATACGTGGTGAATAAGGAAGGTTTGTGAAATTTGAGATTTTAATTACCATATTTACTCACGTATAAGACAAAGTTTTTATTCATTTTTCACTGCTTCAAAAACCTAGGTAGTCCTATACGCAGTGGTGATATTCAGCGGGTTCGCACAGGTTCGGCCGAACCCGTTGTTAACATTTTCAAAGTTTTCCGAACCTTGTAACATTTCTCACATGTAACATTTTTCAGTGGTTTTGTTTCTTTTAAAAAATATATTAAAATATATGTATTATACTCTGTAACACTACTAAACTAGAGCCTCCCGATGCACCATATGAGCGAAAAAAAATTGTTAAGGAAAAATTTTTTGTTAGCGAACCCTTTGTTAAATATTTCNGGCATCGGAGGTCCACTCGAGGGGATCTTTCGGACTCGGGTTGCCCTGAAGCAGTTTGTTGAGTTCTGAAGTGATGAGAGATGCATTGCGTATGAAGCGGCGATAGAAATTGACTAGTCCCAGGAATCGGCGTAGATAGCGGACTGTAGTTGGTCTAGAGAACTCGATAATTGCCTCGACTTTTTGCGGAAGTGGGCGGATTCCTTTTGGGTTGACCAGATACCCGAGGAATTGTACTTCTTGCTTTCCGAATACGCATTTTTATGCGTTGATTACAACACCGTAGTCACGAAGTCTGGTAAATAACTTGCGTAGGTGCTGCAAATGTTCAGTTTCGTTTTGGGACGCTATAAGTATGTCGTCGATGAAGACGTAGCAAAATTCGAGGTCACGAGTAACTTCGTCCATAAAGCGCTGGAATGTTTGCGCGGCGTTGCACAAACCAAAAGACATGAAGTTGAACTCGTAGAGTCCAAATGGTGTGGTGACAGCCGTCTTAGGGATATCCTCTGGAGCTACAGGGATGTGGTGGAAAGCATGGACAAGGTCGACGGTTGAGAAGTACCCACAACCGTGAAGAGTGGATGCGAAGTCCTCTATGTGAGGAACAGGATAACGGTCGGGTACAGTTCGTGCGTTGAGTAGACGGTAGTCATCGCAGGGTTGCCACTGGTCGTTCTTCTTTTGGGATGAGATGTAATGGCGATGACCAGCTGCTGGTGGACGGTCGGCAGATCCCTTGAGCGAGCATGAATTCAAACTCGCGCTTAGCCAGAATATATTTGTCCGGCGCAAGTCACCGGGGTTTGCAGCGCACTGGTTGTCCAGGCGTCGTGATAATATGATGGACGGTGGAGTGTCGGACGGGTGCGATGGTTGGAGATGGACGTGTTATCTCGGGAAACTTGCTCAGTAGTCGGTGGTATGAAGAATTGCCGGCAATAGTTCGTACTGACAGTGTAGTGACACTGAGGATGTCCTTGGCTGACCAGTTTCGTTGTCGAGTCGATGAGACGTTTGCTGCGAAGGTCTGGGAGAAGTCCATAATGAGATAAAAAATCAGCACCGATCAATGGTTGTGTGACATTGGCTACAATGAATCGCCATGTAAAGTTTCATCAAAGAGAGAAGTCTGGCGTGATTGTTGCGTAGCCTTGTGTCTTGATTGCTGTGCCGTTCGCTGCAAAGAGTTGATAGTCTTCTACGCAGTGCTTTGGAAGGCGTGAAGCTGGATAAACAGAGACATCGGTGCCAGTGTCGATTAAGAATGCGACTTTGGACATACGATCCGTGATGAATAAGCAACGGCTTAAATTTTTGGAATCAGTTGCTGTCTCTACTGACTCCCGTTCTCATTTCCCATCGAACAAGGTGGTCGGCAGCGTCGGGCATTCGCACCAAATTTTGCATGATACCAGCAGGTATTGTTCAGGAAGGTGTTAGGCGGGGATGCTAAACGTATTTTAAAAGACATGTTGTAGTTAGGGGTTAGTATTCCTCCGTACTTGGATCGGAGGTCTTGCCAGCCCTGGCCTTCTCGTTCCTACGTCTATTGCGGCAGGCCTGCTTGCTGGGCCTGCCTTCCCTCCCTAAGTCGGATCCCCCAGCAGCGTACTCGTCGCTGCTGATTTCACCTTCTCTCCCCTTAGTACTAGGTTTACGACTAGTTCTACTTCTAGTCCTGACACTACTTACTGACCGCTCCCTACTGTCTAACTTAGAGCAATCCTCCTCTAACTTATTAACTAGCTTATTACTATCTCCAGTTTCCACAGACGGAGCTGGGACTGGGACTGTTTCCTCAGTGACCGTAGGGGCAGCTTGGGCCTCCGGCAGGACGATGGGAGAGGAGATGGGGACAGAGGCATCTACAGACACCTCCATCTCGATGTTGTCCGAAGCAGCTGCTTCTTCAACAGAACCCTTTGAAGTACAGGACAGGATACTGTGGTCCCCCGAGCAAACACGGCACGGCTTTGGACAAAACTTAGCGGCATGATACCTGCTATGACAATTGTCACACAGGCTTGCCTTGCAGTCCCGCTGCTCGTGACCTGGTTCGAGGCAGCGTCAACAGATACGCTCGACACCCCTGTATCCAAGAGTCAGGGGCACACCCTCATAATAGACGATATTATGGATAGGCTTCTTTACCTCTAGACAGATTTTCACCGTGCCTGTGTCGATATGCGAGCGGCCCGGGACTTTAAGCATCGACACAGACCTCACGGCCCCAAATGGGCCCATTAACAGGAGTACAGCCTTTAGGTCCATTTCAGGAGCAAAAAAGCAGATGAAGACAGTAG